CGGACGGTCAGTTATTCCCAGCAAGTGTACTGGACGGATTGGTTATCCCGGCAAGTGTACCGGACGTATTAGTTATTTTTAGCAAAGCACAACTATTACCGGCAAACTTTTATAATATCATGCTTATGTAAGTAAATAATGATTTTTTATTACTTATAAATATAAATTTTTTTTTTTTTTTTTAGAAAACTGCAACTATCAGTATTACCAGAAAGGGGTAACTACTTCGAAACTTGTTTAAAACATTAGCAAGAACCTTGTATTGTCTTCTGCGGATCAGAGTTTGTAACTATAAATAGAAAAAAACCAAAAAATGTTCCTGCGAATACCTTTAAGGTCAATAAATATACTTTAGTAAAAAGTGAAAAAATTAAGTAAATAATCTATCTATCCTCTACTTACTTTTTAATATATATATATTTATATATATATATTTTTTTTAAGCATTTGTACCTATATTCAGGTAAAGCTACTTTGGCAAGGCAAATTGACTAACAGTTACCTTTGATTCTTGTAGTAAATATTGCAGGAATTAATATTACTGATAAAGGATTTTATCTTGAATATAAAGACCTTCCAGAAGAAATCAGTTTTTCTTCAGAAAACACAAATATAAAACAAAGGTAAATCTTAATTCCAATTTTGCTTACTATGTTTAAAGTAGCAAAGTCGCAAAACATGTGACCACTGATCTTTTCTGACCCTACTTACTATATAATAGTTGTGTAGCTGATAATTTTTTTACTTTAGTGTTTAGTAGAGTAAAAAATTGTCAGACACACAAATGATTATATAGTAGATAGGGTCAGAAAAGATAGGTGGTCATGTGTTCTAAGATATTTTCTGTCTTACACCTATATGGTATGGGCTTATATTTTTTTTTTTTTTTTTTTAATAAATATCGACTTATGAGAGCTTCCTTTTGTGATAGTAATTATCATATTGCTAATATTCGTTTTGAAAATATCAAAAATGTGGGCTAGTATCAATACGATAGTTTGGAAAAAGCCTATCGTGCAAGAGCAATGTATATAGAAAGTTCATGCCTGCCTCACAAAAATAGCTATGCTATGGATTTTGTGATTTATGTAAAGATTTAAAAAAGGATCATCAGTCTAAAGAAAAATCTTTACATTGTTTTATAAAATAAACAAGAGTTTTACTTTTAATGAAATTTCTAGTTAATAAAGTGAATAGAGCATTAGTGTCTCCTAATTCAACTTGCTAATTTTCTGATATTTAAATTTTTATAACTAGTTATTGGCAAAAAAAAAAATGTAACTTTTTCTATCAATTAACTAGTGAGGATTTTTTTTTTTAAAAAAAAATTATATAATATTGCTTTTATTAGTTCACTAGTATTTCATTTTAATATATATAGTTTAAAATTATATTTAGATATATTACGCTTAATCAAAAGAATATTATATTTTATAACTATATAATATATCTAAAAAGTATATTTAACTACACTTGCAAAAAATAGCAGAAAGCATCTCATAATGGCTTCGGTAGAGTAAATACCACCTGAAAGAAAAAAAAAATATTGATAAAACATATGCTACCAACTATGTAAAGTGAATGTATTGTGTTATTCAATAAGTTTAAATGCTGCTTGGTTAGTATTTACATGATGCATTTTCAAGTTTTTGATTCGGCAAACTAGAGAACAATATCTGAAAATTGATAATTTTTTATTAATCTCTAAATTTCATCTAATATTAAGTAAAAAAAAAATAAAAAATCTTATCGTATAATATTATCTATATTGTCCATTAACTCTAACCAAGATGTCACATTTTAAAAGGTATAGATTCACAATACAGGAGGATTCTAATGGAATGTATCTAGTTGTTGTTTGTTATTAGAATCAAAAAAGATGAAAATATAACATTCGTTTATTATTGAATATTTGTCAAAATAGACATTGCAAACACTCTTAAAAATCATAGTCAAAATTTTGATTATTATAGCAAATAAAATATTACTAGTAGATAATAAATATTAGTGCTCTTACCGAAATAAAATAAGAAATATTTGCTAAAATAGACAATTTTGATGAAACAAACTCTTCTGGAGATCATAATCAGAATGTAGATAATAAATCGCTAATCAAATGATAAAATCAGTATGAGATCATTTAATTAAAATAATGTCAATTGATTGCCAAATGTATACTGATTATTGTCAACATTCTGCCAATATTTTACCAATATTCATTCAGTCAACTAGCAGAACACTGTCTGAGTTTGTATAATATCAACAATGGTCAGTACACACTTAGTACATTTAGCAACCAATTATTCTCATTTTAATTAGAATGAACTTATACTGATTTTAATATTTTCGACTAGTGAATGTTAGCACCATTACCAAAATAAGGTAGAAAAGGGTCCATATTATTTTACTGACATGACAAGCTTATTTTACAGAATAGTTCATTTTATAGACAATATATTTTACCAATAGCTCATTTACAAACAAGTTTTTTAATAAATTGCACTAACCTTAACTCTAATTCCAAACCTAAACCTAATAACAATGATTAGAATTACTTTGTCTGTAAAATGAGCTGTCAGTAAAATATATTGACTACGAAATGAACTACTGTTGAACCTCTCTAAATTGATCCTCTCAAAACTGATAACCTATTAAATCTGATAAAAAATTAGTCTACAAAGTCCATTTCTATTATATAAATCTAATAGTTTATAATGTTTTTCAAATCTGATAGCTTCTCAAGACTGATACAAAATCAGTCCACCATGCATATCAGTTTGGGGAGGTTCAACAGTATTTTGTAAGTAATATAAGCTTTGTTGGTAAAATGAGTATCAGTGAAATATAGTATCTTTGAAGTGATTGTCTGTGAGTTGATCAGAACTGGCAAAACGGCAAAAGCAAAGGCAAATGGCAAAGGCAAAGGCAAACGGCAAAAGGGCAAAACTCTTTAGTCTAAAATATTTATATCTGCAGATTTTTAAGAAATGAGTTAATAAATAATATAATTAGAAAAGGTAAGATGATTAGTGAGTTAAATTAATAAAAAGAAAAGTATACTTGCTATTAAGGCAATGCTTGCACAATCTTATCATGTTATATAGCTATTTAAACTAAAAAAATCATTAATTAGTCGGGTTAGAGTGAAAAAACATTCTTATAACTTATCTTTAAGTTATAAAGCTACGACTAGTTAGGGGTAAAATATTTAGTTTCGCAGTTTTGCATAAGGTATGCATAGTGTTGGTCACTCTTACAAGTCCAAGTTTTATTAAACACTGAGTACGCAAGATCTAAAGATTATCATACTATATATATTAATTAATTATATAAGCGAAAGTTGTTATAGCATTTACGAGTTTTACTTTAAAAAAGCAGGTTTTATATATAAAAGCTGATTTTATCTAATTAAAGGTGAGTTTACACAAAAATGTGAAAGAAAAAAGCAGATTTTATCTAATTAAAGGCGGGTTTACATATATACTTCTAAAAAAAGTGAATTTTATATAACCTAAGAAATAAACTCAGATTTTACATAATCATCTCAGATTTTACATAATATAATTGATAAATACAGGTTTTACCAGTTGGCAACTTAGGTTTTACCCTGTCATATTATATTTATAGACAATTATAGTAACAAGTAGAGAATTAATATGCAACTATTAAAGAGCTAAACCACTTAGCTTTTGAGTATTTGCAAGATTTTCTTGTATGAATCAAGAGTACTAAAATCTAATTGAAGAATGAAATAGATATTATATTTAGTTTAAACATCATGATATTGCTTTATGAAATCTTCTTCATCAACTTGCACTTGAAGAAGAAAGAGAAAGAAGAAAAAGAGAAGAGAATAAAGAAAAAAAAATAGAAGAAGAAGAAAATAGAAGAAGAAGAAGGGGATGAGGTGTTTTTGTATATAGAGTAGTTGCTCTTGTTATTGTCCTTTTCTATTTTCTCAGAATTTTGTTTTTGTAAATAAAAATTAAAGGTTTTAAATATAGAAGTTTAAAATATAATAATAAATAAAGTTAATATTTAATCAGAGTATTAATAAAACAAAATAAAATAAAATAAAACTTTAAAGTTGAATATTGATAAAAATTGTAATTTAAATAAAAAAAAATAATGAGTTTTTGTGAATAAATCTGCAGATAAAATAAATAAAAATATCCAAGAAAGAAAATAATAACAAAATAAAAACTAAACAAAAATATAATAGAAGAGCCTTTATAACATAATAAATAAAAGGTCATAAGTATACACAATGTAATGGGTATATAGGTAAAAACAATAAAAACAAGATAAACTAAACAACAATATAATAAAAAGAGCCTTTACAATATAATAGGTAAAGAGTCAAAGGTATATACAACATAATAAATGTATAGGTAAAAACAATAAAAACAGATAAAAACTTAAAGCATTATAGCCTCAATTCTTACTAGAATTGGATAAAAATAGATAGGTATATAAAGTTGTAAAAATGTCTAGACTAAAAGAAGTTAAAATATTAAAAAAAATTAAAAATAAATAGTGTATAAAAAATATCTTAAAAAAAATAAAAAATAAAAATTTTTTTATATTCAATTTTATTTAAATATAAATAGTAAGATTGTGAATAGAGCTAAATATAAAAGAAAAAATACAAACTAAAGAATAAAAATAAAATGTTCATTATATTAAAGCTAGTTAATTCCAAAAATCAGAGTCTAAGTTAAGATTTTAATCCAATAAAAAAAATAATAATTTAGTTTATAATTCCAAGAGATTAAAAAAGAAAAATTATAATAACAATAAGGAGAAAAATAAGAAGAAGATAATATAAATTTTGTTGTTTTTGTTAGAACTTTTTTTTTGTTGTCTTTGCTTTTAAAAATAATAACCTTTGTTGTTAAAGAGTTTTATGTTTAAAGAATAAATTTATAAATAGTTTATAATAAAATAATAAGATTATAATACAATATCTTAAAAGTTAATTAACTCAATTAATTGTAGTTATAAAGGAAAATAAAATTTGTAGAAAGAAATAAAAGAAAATAAAATTAATATATGTTGAAAAATAAAAATAAACAAAAGAAGAAAGATATAAAAAAAATAATTAAAATAATAAATAATAATTATAAAATAAAAAAATAATAAAAAAAAATATGGAATTTAAATTCAATAGCCTCCTAAATACTATAGAGCTTATTTAGTAGATCAAGAAGAGGTGTTTTATCTACTATCTCTTTTGTATTAGCCAGTAAAACACTTATCATATTTTTTCTTTACAAGGATTATTAGCTATGAGGACCTAGAGATATCTATAGATATAACCAAAGAAATAAAAATACCAAAATATCAAGTACTAATAATCAGGCTGTTATAAGCTATATATAGCTTTTTAAATTCCTTATAATATAAAGCTAATACTTGCAATAGTATTATTTACAAATTCAGCTATCACTTTATATTATAAATTATATAATATCAAGCTAATACTTGCCAAAGTATTATTCACAAATCAGCTTTCACTTAATATATTTTTTTTTTTAATTTTGGCAGTCCTGCTTTTACTTTATTAGGCTTTGTAATAACTATCTAAACTATTAAAATTTTCTGATAGGTTAGTCTCTTTGGTATCTAAATTACAAGTAAAAACTCACCCAATTGCTTACTAAATACCTATGTGTAACCTGCTATAGTAAAATTTGCCTCTGTATTACCGTATCCTGCATTTGGTTCTGATAGTACCTCAACAGCATGTCTTATTGCTTGTCAAAACTACAAATTAGTTTTTCACCAATCTGAATGTTGGCCTCCTTCAATCCAACTTAAAACCTCTTTTCTAGTAATTTTTAGTACTAAAGCCTATCTTGAATTCTCTTCTCTCTTTTTACTCTTTCTTTTATTTGTAATATCTTTTTTAGGTTTCTTTTTTCTTTTCTTTTTATCTTCCTTTAACTTTTCATATAGTCTTTTTTTTTTTTCAATATAATGCTATTTTTTTTTTTCCTATTCTTGGACTAGTTTACATCTTGCAATTCATATCTTTTCATAGATCTTTTTTATCCAATTTTTCTAAAGCTTTACTATGAAATCTTTTGTCTAATTGTTAGAACTAAAATAAGGTTTAAGCTCATCGAAGTCTTCTTTTGTAACTAGATCTCTTATCTATCAGCTCTTCTACAGATCTCTTTAGCTCTATTTTTTTTACCTAACA